ACAGTTTTGTGTATATTTGATGATATATGTAGGAAAAATCAGTTCTTGATTGTTCAAATAGTTGGATTTCAATGGTACCCCAAAAGTGTGTTTGTTTAGCTGCTACAATGCACTTTTAATGGTAAAATAATGGAAATGTAGTTGTTTTGTGTCTATTTCTTGATATATGTAGGAAAAATTGATTCTTGATTGTTCATAAGTTGTATTTGTTCAGTTTATGTTGTGTACGTAACCTGTTTGATGAAATGCCTATGAAAGAATTTGGGTTTATTTCATTGCTAGAGTCTTACAATCAGTCAGTACATTAACTATAGGTTTAGTTATTACTTATTACGTTACTCAGACTTTAGTTGTTCGATTCTATTGTTTATTTTTATATGTAAGTGGCGAAGGAGTACGAACGCGCTCATGAACACATTTTTTTTTGGCATTGACCCCCTACCTTGTTAATAAAACTTCAAAATATAATTGAGAGGAGGGCTACACCATATCTCCCTAGTTACACATCAAAAGATATTTCCAGACTTCAATTGAACACTTCTTCAGAGAGAACACTACTACTAATTAATGATGCTCTAATTAGCTATGTTTTCAGCAAAAAGTGGGAGTGGATCTCTTAGCCTAAGTCCTTAAGGAACATCATAAGTAAATAAAAGGTACTAATTTTACATTAGACATGTAGTTTGATGCAGCTGAGGCATTTCTTGGAAAGCGACTCTTTAAGAAAAGGTTGTCCTTCATAAGCTCATTGAATGCTTAAGATGTTAGGTTTGTCAATGCATGGGCATCATCTTTCTAGTTTATATATAAAGTGACCATAGGTAGACAATTTTTACGTCCAATTATGCTTTGTTAAGCTTGCAGTGACAATGTTCTCTGTTATCGCTTGTATAAACTATTGGGAAACTATTAGCTGCACCCAAGTGTGTGATCTAGCAAATCTTAATAGTGGAAAAATGCTAGGAGATTTCTACATGTACTTGTACCTCTGCAGATGGAAGATCGTACTTTTCTCTCGATTGTGCTCTTAGAGAATTTTATTTTACTTTTTCATTTTTTTCTAATGTTTTCACAGGGAACATTGACTTGCATTAACAGACTAAAATAATTATTATGCTTCTCTGCTTTGTAGACAAACTGAGATTGTTCTAGAGGTATTGAGGGGGATTTTGTTTAGCTGAAGAAATGGTGGGCTGGGAACGTCATCTTCAGTGCATACTTCGTCAGGCTGGGAAGAGATATCAACAAAATCTAACTGTTCCTTTCAATTCATTGTTTCACTCAAAGGCAACTCCAGTACTCGGTAAATCTTAGTTTTGGAGTATGATAAAACTGATGTTAGGAGTGTCTCATGATCAGTGTAAATAGATGATGCAACAAGAGTAAAAGCTAATCGATTATGGGGTTCAAAGATCTGCTTTTATTTGTCTCCAAGTCCTTTTCATTTACGATGTCTCAAGTTATACATCAACTTATTTGATAGTTGAACATAATGCATTTTCTAGGTGGGGTGCCTTATTTACCAAGGCTGCAGAATACACCTTCTCCTTGCATCTCAAGGCCATTGTACCAATATCTACAACATCTGGTAATACTTTAATGTCCTTTACTTGATCTATTGTGCCCATTTATGGTGTGCTGAGTTGATATCTGTGATTGTGTTTTTCTTGTTTCAGTGGGATGAACATTTTATGTGGTAGAGCTTCATGGTAACAAAAAATTCATTAGTTGGAGATCTTATCTTAGGTTCATAGTTGTTAGGGCGTTAGACTAAAGCATGCGTCATTCAAGCAGCTAACTCCTGCTTTGAGATATTTACAAAACGATCTAAATATGAGTACCTTATTGTACACCTAGTTACTAACTATCAAGAAAGTCTTGTGCACATGCACTAATAGTTATATCTATCAGAACATTAACACAATTTGTTTTCTTACAAATGCTTTTCTTATTTTATCTACTTCTCCAGTATAGATATGCCTATTCAATTACTTATAATGACTTACAACTTGCAAGCTACAAAAGGCACTTATGCTTCTTTTTTTTTACTTTTTTGATAACTGTTGTGTCAGGGCTTATGTTCTTTAGCTATCAAATGGTTCACCTGCAAAACTAGAATTTAATTGGTTCAAACAGTTCCATTGTTTTTAAATGTTTATTTTACTTTTGATAGGGTTTGTCTAGTTCAAGGACATTACTTGCAGACGATGCAACACCAGTTTCTTCTCCATTAACACCAATGTTACCATCAAGTACGGGAAGTACAGAAGCAGAGAAAGCAATTTCTAAACCTTCAAAAGTTCAAGCTATTTTGAAGGGTATAAAACAGGTATGAGATGCCACAGCCTTCTGGTTTTATGAGAATTATATGTTTTATTTGCTTCTCTCTTGGTGGAGTTCTTAGATCTTTCTTCTTCGCCTTACAAAGCATCCACCTGCTGCTACCTTAACCTAGCATTACCTGCTTAGGAAAGTCTCCCGAACTCCTAAATGTCTTCTTCCAGATTCTCTCCTTACAGGGCAGCCATCCATACATTTTTTCTACCAGATTCTCTCTGTCGGTCAAGGGAGTTGGCCTTGTTTACAGGAAATAGTTCACTATTAAGATTGGATGAGTTGCTTTTCTTTTTTGATATCTTTGGTGTTGGGGACAGTTTACATGCACCTCATTTAATCCATCCTTTACATGTTACCTCTCACCAACGTAGTTATTGGGTAACTGTTCTCACCAAGGCTTTAGACAGATCTGAAGAATTCACCAGTGTACACAGTTTGCTCTTTACTGGGATTCGCTTGGTTCTCTTTGACCACTAGGCCAGCCCCTCAGAGACTGACACATTTGTTTTTTTTCGGAATTCTCCCTTTATCATCCTCTTTCGGTTTTTCTTGACAAATTTTGTTCCCAATCTATTGTAATCCTTTGTATCAGCAAATCTCTCTCCTGTTAAAAAGGACTTATTTCAACTTTTATATCAAATCAACTACATTTGAGTCTAGAAGTAGTTGTGGTTGCCTATATGAATCATCTATTTTCAAAGAATTGATCATAGTTAAACTACAGATAAACTTTTTCTTGGCGACTATTAACTTACTACAACCCTCCTTTAATTGAACTTGGAGTTAGCTATGCTTTGTGGAGTTTGAGTGGTTTATCATTTCAAGCAGTTTGTTGGGGCTTTCTACATTTATAACTTGTCTGTATTTTTACAAGTCATGACATCTCCCCCTTTACCTGGTCCGTGATCTTATCTGATTTTTCAGATAAATTTTCCAAACTTGGAAGTCCATGGGGGTAGTTATGAAATCCTGCTGTTTGTTGAATTGAGATCGCTAACAATCTTTGTTGATTTTACCCCCACCAGCAGCAACTGCTAATAATCCTAGACCTGCTAATCTTTTATATTTTAACGTGTTGTCCTTTTCAGAGCCCAAAGAAGGTGAACTTGGTTGCTGCATTAGTTCGTGGTATGCGTGTTGAAGATGCATTGTTACAGTTGCAAGTGACGGTAAAGCGAGCTGCCAAAACTGTCTATCAGGTAAGGCCACTGCCGCTCCGATATCAAAAGTAATTGCTTCTATGACAAATATATTGCCTATGGTTCCGTTAAAACAGGAGGCCACATCTATCCAGAAGAAAGCACACCAAGCTGTATACTAACCTCGACAGTGTTCTTCCCCAAACACCAAAGTGCAAGCCCCTAAGTTGTACTACTATTGTCTAACATGAGAAGTACATAGAAGTTGATTACTCATAGGTCAAGTGTACATTTGTCGTGTAGGTTATACACTCTGCTCGGGCAAATGCAGTGCATAACTATGGATTTGATCCGGATCGCCTTCTTGTTGGTAAAATGACGGACAATAACTTTACATGTTTTCATCTCATTTCTACCCTTGGAGTACTTCAACCTTATTCATGTTTGATGCAGCTGAGGCATTTCTTGGGAAGGGACTCTTTAAGAAAAGGTTGTCCTACCATGCCAAAGGAAAGTGTGGAATGATGGTGAGGCCAGAATGTAGATTGACAGTGGTTCTTAGGGAGATAACACCGGCAGAGGAGGCCGAGATAGCTAAGTTGAGAGTACACAACTTCAAAAAGCTAACTAAACGTGAAAGACGTCTTGTCCCTCACAAGCTCATTGAGACTACTCCAATATGGAACCGCAAGAGCAAAGCTAGAAGTAGTGGCACAGGTACTGTTGCTGAATGAGCCACGACCTCGTTGTAGTACTTTTTTTGTTTTTAGAAACCAATGCAAATTACATAAAGATCAGTGGTTGATGAAAATCCATTGCATCTCATCACATTTTTTTTTTTTTTGTAAGAGCTGTAACTTAAAGTTAATCCCTGGTTTCTGTTTTCTTCTTGCTAGGCAATACTCTCTCCTTTTTATAGTGTTGTTGAAGTACCTTTATTTTTTTTCTCGATTTAAGTATCTGGTAACTGAAGTTCATTGGCCTGATAAATTTTGACTCATGTTGGATAAGTACACGCTAAGAGTTGAAGGGGAGTCTCAGAGTAATGATAAAATTGTCTCTATGTGATTGGTCATGGTTCGGTCATTGAATTAGATCCTATGCAAGCACTAGGGTAGATTCTTAGCGTCACACTTTGATCTTGTGTGAACGTGAGATGCTTGGGTTATCAAATTGCCTCAAGGCACACGTTAAGCCCTAAAGGGTTTACACCCTTCCTTTCGAAAAGGGAGCATTCCATTCTCCCTCTTTCTAATAGTTATAAGTAAGCAATTGATGTGTTATCTTTTTTCATGAATCAAAGATATAATTTTGGTTAAACAAACAAATGTTTTGCCATTATGATTTATTTCTTTGGAACCAGAAATGAATGAAGTACATAAAAAGTCTTCCTAATTTGTAATAACTATCCATAGTCCATGTGCCATGAGAGTGTTAACACTGTTGCAAGCACATGTATCGAGTAACTCTAACCACCAATACTTTAGCAGTTGAAAAGAAATCACCTATGAGAAATGACAACTCTTGGGTTACAACCTACAATATATAAAAGAATCAACTTTTTTGTTGTTTTTCTTTCTTTTCTTTCTCAATCATGCTCTCAAAAAATGCATATGGAGAAGATTCTAAACACTCTACAGATGAAGAGAAAAAACTAGCTTTGCAATCAAAATAAGTAAGTGAACAACATGATTTCGAATAACAAAAACTCATACAAGCAACATGTCTTGGCTTTACACATCAAAATCTCTGTGTCTGTTGATCTCGACGCCTAAGTAGTCAACAGGTCCTTGAACAGCCACATGAGGCTTTCCAACTTGAACACGAACAGCAGATACCTGCGGATACATGTTGAGAGTTGTAGATGCAATGAGCTCCGCCACATTCTCTAGCCAATATGCTTTTCTCTCATGCCTTTCTTCGTTCATGGTTTGATATCCTGGTGTCCTAGACATAGAGGAAGAACCACACCAGTTATAAAGATAGGACACTTGAGCCTAACAGAATCTCAAAAGCTAGCTTATAAGGAGAGAATTGTCCAAGTTCATATAAGGAGACCACCAATCCATTCCCGAACCAATTATAGACTTCGGCATAAAACATATATTGGACCCTAAACTTGACTTCAAATTTTAACTGACCTCCAACTTTTATAATGTGTAAACAAGCAATTTAACTATCCAACTTTCTAATAAATAAACACCGGAGTCCTATATGACACAATACACGTAGGACAAAAAATGACATGTAGGATTACATGTAGGTCTATTTGTTTAACTTTATACAAGTTGTAATGTCTACTTGTGCACACCCAAAGTTGAAGGGTATAAATGTGATTCGAAGCCAAGTTAAAACATTTATGTATTATGACTAAGACTTTTATCCACTCTAACACCAATCCTTCCTGAAATTGGTGGTTATAATCTACTAAGACTATACTATAGGAGAGGTAAACAGATCTAGTGTGTAGATAGGCTGAGGAGGGTAAAGTATACGTATTCCTTACTCCTACCATTGAGAAGGTAGAGAGATCAAAAGACCTTCGACTAAGCAAACAGTGAAAAATATGCAATAGCAACAAATAGGAACAACAACAAGATAATAAGTGAAACAAAAAATAGTGATATAATTCTAAAAATAAGGGAAAGAAACGAATAGTACTAAAACTCGAGAAAAGAGAACCAAAAAAACGCTTGATTACTAACCAACCTTCTATTCTACCACGATCTTTACTCATAATTTTGTCTAACATGATCTCTTCCTTTTTCTTTCTTTCGATTTTTGCAACGATTTACATTTGATTAGACATTAACTAGCATTGCAGGATGCAACATGGCAACAAAGTTGGAATTTTTGCAGTATATTCATCTCATGCTGGTTTTGGGTTCGACCCATGGAATTAATCATTAATGTATGGATGCAACACTTTCCCCGGACACTATTTGAACATGAAATGTTTTGTGCACTGGACTAGCTAGTAGCAAGTCATATAAATCGAGACAAATGAAGTAATTTCACAAAAATTCTCAATATTTCCCCCTTTTATGAATTTGAACTAGAGATATATTTCAGTTTCCAACTAAATAAACACAAAAAGACAATGCCTTTACATTGTTAGTATATACATACTATTAAGAAGCAATTGAAACTCATTTCACTAATCCAAATTGTTTGCACAATCAAAGATGTTTAAAGAACCACAAAAAAAAGCAGAAGTGAATTGAGTATCAAATTTTGCACACTATAAGAAAAAGAAATAAAGAAATGCTGAAAACAAAGAGAAACTTTTTAAAGTACTTACTGGTGCTGGCTGATGCCATGTATGTTGTAAAGTCAACAAAATTGCTAAACAGAAAAAGCCTCTTGGTAGCTGGTGGGGGTGAGGGATTGGGGGTAGTAAAAATGAAAAATAGTGTAAAATAACAAGAATCATTGAGTCGTAAATTATTAATTTCATTTTTAAATTATTGATAGTCTTAAAAATATACTTTTCCTGATTAACTAAATTTATATATATCCTGATTCGCCGTACCACAAAATTTGGGATCAAGCGAAAGCGTCAATTATATTTCCTAAAATTCTAATAGACATGATAAAACTAAGATAATCCTGAATTTCGTTTTTTTTTGTGTGTGACCACAAAACTCCAAAAACACCATGTTATGCCTAAAAAGTCAATGAGTATCATTCACGGGGTCATTTCAAATTGACCCATAAAACTTGGGGCAAAACGGTCATATTTGCAAAATTTATGGACTAATATTAACACATGGAAAACTAATAATCCCAAATTGCAGAATTGTGACCTCAAAAGTCCTCTGTCCTATAGAAATAATGAGTAACATTCAGTAGATCAATCCTATGGATCTATTAATACAGATTTTATTCTTATTTTGTGAAAACAATAAAAAATATTTTTGATAAAACTTTAATTCAAGTAAAATATTTCAAAAGTCATATATCAAAAAAAATATAGTAATGAAGATGTCTGTCCTAATGAAATAAATAAAAAATAAAACATGTAATTGTACCTATATTAAAGCAAATGAAAATCATAGTGTAGTCCACTTGTTACTTGTTGGGGTCTACGTGTTAAATGTTATTGTTAATGAAATTAGAGACAATGTATGATCACTTTCATATAGTATTGCTTTCATTAATTAATACTATGAACTTAGACCCAAACCAAACAAAAGAAATAAAGTGGAGTTTGGACTCTTCCTAGCTAGTGCCCAATGAAGAGAAAAATCTTTTTAGCCTAATGGACCTTTCATTAAGCTTATCTTTTTTCAAAGAAATAATCATGTTATTTTTGTAAGCTACAATATCTAATGACACTGATTTTTGGAGCTAATTTATACCTAATCTAATTATCTTTTAATTAATATAAATATTGAGTAAAGATGACCTACTAATGTTTAGACAAATAGAATACTGAAATTTGAATCGTGACCTAAAGAGATTATTGATAGAGAGCTTACTTAACCATTAATTAAAGTGACCTAGACACAAGGCTGAGAAAGGATTGATAGAGCGTACCTATCAATTAACAACACTTGATTGAGACTAATTGCTTCAGGATTTGAATTCAAAACAACGCTAAAATATATAAACAAAAACATAATAGGTATACTCAAGACCTTACACCTACCTTTGAAGTTATAGAGGTTATTTCCGATAGACCATCCACGACTTAAGGAATTGCCAAAAATTATAATGGCCTGCATCCCCAAAGGCTGAAACTAAAGAGGAAAGGCAGAAATTTAGAACATCCTTCAAGAAATAAAACTCAAAAGACATGCTCTTTTTGTCAACTGATTTTTACATATATATTTTTTTTCACTTTAGACAAGTTTTGATGTTTACAAAGTTAAAAAACTGATGAAAAGGATATACTAAAACTATGAACAAGGCTAGATACAAAAGTGCCACGTCTACCTTGCTCTATGCAAAAGATAAACAAGAACTAAAGACTCTTGAAACTTTCTCAATTGCTGCTTTTGAAAGATTAAAAGCTGCAGATCAAGAACTAACATACACCCAAACTACAAACCAAGAACTTCTGCTTAAGCTGAACTACATTTAGCGGGGCTGCTGGATGCGGCGAAGGCTGTTCTTTGGGCTAACAATCTTTGCTGGTTTCTCGTACAACTTTGGAGGTTCGATAAGAGATTTTGGCTTTGGCATGCTCAGTGTCCTTACAAGTGCCTCAGAACCCTTGGGTAAGCCTGTAGTCAAGAGGAAAATGTGAGTAAGAACCAACGACATGAGAATCATAGACTACGGAATTGTAGATAACGGAGATTGGTGTATACCAAATTGAAACATACCATTGACACCAGAGAGTGATGATTTGATGCCTTGTTGCTCACTTTCAGATGATTGAAGAAATTCTTCAAACTGAGCTTCCATATTCAAAATATCCTCATCGACATCAAGGTCAATGTTTTCAGGAAGTAAGTCAGCAACATCATTTCCAGCAAAACCAAAATCATCATCACCATATTCCTCTCCTTGATGCTGGCTAGTCCAGTAGTCGCGGAACCATGTTGCAGTTGTTACCAAATTCCACCATTCAGGTGAAAAGTCCTCCACTTGTTGCACATAAGATGGGATGAAGAGAGGTGCATTCGGATTCAGTGTTGACGACCTTCCTCCAGAAACTAACGCCATTCTTCTTTCTCCAAATTGCTATCTGAAGGAAAAGAATGAATCCAACATATTAGTGCATAAATACAGCAAAAAGTCAAGATATGATCACATAATCTAGGAAGCTGCAACTCAAACACTCAACTAATATCTAGAACATAGAAAACTAGAAATTTCAGCAAAACTACTTTAACAAACCCCCCTTGAGGAATGATTCTACGATGATAACCAAAACCATGGAACCGATTACAAACATATATTCTCTAATTAACGAATAAAATCTATCAAACGTGAATACTCAGCTTCCACATCAATTTCAATTTACTAAAACAACTATTCTTCTTCCAACATTCTTTCAGATTTAACTAAACTAATGAATTCTAACCGCGAAAACTACTCAAATCCAACAGATCTACTCATACAAACTTCACATAATCATCAAAAAGATCTTTTGGAATTTAGATAAACGACTATAAATCGCCACAGACCAAGTCAAGGTCAATCAATCAATGAAAAGTATAATTAAAACTACAATCTGTAGTCACAGTTTCCAACTGATCAAACTTTTGAAGTCAAACATTTTTAAGTTATTGATTGACCTTGACTTGGAAAATATATTTGGATCAATCATTTTTCCATTAGAAACTTCTCACTTCCAAGTCAAACTTCATACTCATCAAAATATCCTTCACGATCGCTAGAAAAACTGTTCATCACAACTCATCCCAACCAAATATCAATCATTTTTAGCAATAATTACATCAAAAAAATCCAAATTTCAAACACAATTCAACAGATCGGAAAAACAAAAGACAAAATCTCAAATCAAAAAGCGGAAATGTAATATTAAAATTTCAATTCCATCTTCCAACTGATCAATTACAGTTCAGCTAAAAGATGCTCATCAATCAACACAAACAACCAAAAATCAATCATTTTCCAGTAAAACTTCTCACTTCCAAGTCAAACTTTATACTCATCAAATAATATTCTTCACGATCGCTAGAAAAAAAGTTCATCACAACCAAAAGTCAATCATTTTAAGCAAAAATTACATCAAAAAAATCCAAATTTCAAACACAATTCAACAGATCGGTAAACGGAAAGACTAAATCGCAAATTAAAAACCAGAAAATTCGAAACTAATAGCCATAATAGTGATATTTACAGTACCTTAACGAAGAGAAAAATATCTTTCAACTTACAGGAGCGACTCGTACACGTATGAAGTCTTATCTCCAATCGGAAAAAGGCCCTCTATTTATAGCAAGAATACCAAGCCTAGAAGGTTCGTAACCGAAGCATAGGATCGGGGAAGACCAAGGCAACCTAATGATTGACTTGCAACAATTAAATTATATTCCTATAATAACTTATTCTAAATTTTAAAAATCTTTAAATCTAGATTTTTGTCATCACCAACCGGCTATTCAATTTTACGTTTTCGGTATATATAATTTTTAAAGAATATAATCATAATATTTGTTCATTATTTTCATTAATGATATTTTAATATAATAATTAATAAAAGTGTCTAGATTATGTTCATGAATACATTACGTTATAATTGAAATATGTTATTTAATAATATTATATATTATTATTTATTTGTTTGTAATTTCCATGTAATTTCTTATGAAATAAATATTAGTACCTTTGTGGATAATGATTTTATCCATATTGGTAGTGCAAAGGTAGTGGTATCCATGTTGTTGATTAATCAAAGATTTAATTGGGACAATAACTTTTTTTCTTTTGGGTTATATGTAAGAGAATATTAATAGGTCAAATAATTTTTCAGATTGAGTCAAAATATTTTCGAAATATGATAGTGTTTGACTACTTAGAAAATGAAAATAATACTCAGGCAATTATTTATCATGTAATAATAAACTATATAAATAGAAAATTTGGGAGGAAAAATTTGCTAGCCTTTGTTTTTTTTTAACTATATAATATTTAAAATATATTGATTCGATTAATTCAAATCAACAATTTTTTATATTCTTTATTCTTAAAGACGAGAAATTCTCTTTCTTTTCTCTTTTTCCATCTCTAGTTTTGGAAAATAGTTGAGAAAGAAATATATTCGGTCTCTAGCTAATTAATGAGGAAATTTCAATCCATAGGTAGTAATATTGAGATGAATGGAGTATTGATCGATATGAGTTTGACAAACGACAAGTATATCTTAAAAAAAGATTAAAAGTGTATATTTCGAAATTCACATAGGATAGTGGTTGACTACTCAGAAATTGAAAATAATAGGTACATGTAGAGAGAGTTTTGGAGGAAAAAAATTGCTAGCCTTTTTTTTTAATTATTTAATATTCAAAATATGTTGATTCGATTAATTAAATCAACACTTCTTCGTACTCTTTACTCTTTAAAGACGAAAAACTCTCATTCTCTTTTCTTTTCCTCTCTAATTCTGAAGAATGATTGCTAAAAAAATGAATTTCGTTTTGTAGTTAATTAATGAGGAAATTTCAATTGATAAGAAGCAACATTGAAATGAATTGAGGATTGGTCGATACAAGAACATCAAATGTCTCGAAAAAAAATAAAATTAAAAGTGTTATATTTTTGAAATTTAAATTTGAAAACTTTAATTACAAATAAAGAAATATCGTTGCTCTCTCACCTCATAAAGTTAAAAGTATTATCTTTTTGAAATTCAAATTTAAATTTTTTAATTACAAATAAAGAAATATCATCTCTCTCACCTCACAAGTGATGATACATTCTTTTACATATTTAATTCAAAGCATCATTGACAGGGGATGTATCTTTAGATTAAAAATTACATTGATTTGATATTAATTAATAAGAGATGAAGACAAACATGATAGGTGACATTTTTTGTCTGTGAGAAAATAGTAAATAAATAGACTTATGTGATATTCTTTAAGCCAAATTAATTACTTAATCCTTTATTTAGTGACTGCTGATATAGCATATTATTACGCAAAATACAGTGTCTAGATAATAAGGTATTATTAAAGAAGGAAAAAAGACACTCCACCATAAAAATCTATAAATTAATTTAGAATTAATTGTCCTTTTGCTACATTACATAAATTAAGATAGTAAAAGCATGAAATTCTAATACAACTGTAAGGCCACAACTCATAAAGATCTTTAACTTTATTGGATTTTTTTCTCAACTATGTCATTTTCCTATTAAATTATTGAATTATTTATAATTTATTCTATTTAAACATTGTTAGCTAATTTAGATAGCCTTTTCTACTGTAAATGCCTTTAACTGTGTTTGTATTGTGATGGTTTTGATGAAAGAATGAACACAAAATGTGTGTTGGTGTCATTTGTTTCCTAATGTGTTCATAAAACTTAAAGTAAAACACAATATTGTTGAACATTTTCACTATCAATTGGATTAAAGAGTTTTGGAATAACATATGTATTCTCTATCAATATTGCTCACAAAATCTGGTTTCATATCAATCAACGATATTTAAAAAGAAACAAATTATGGGTGGTTTAATCATTCAAAAGAAAAATAACATAGTTGAAGTATCTGGAAAAAAAATTCAACAAATTTAGAATCTATTTTTGTATTTGGCCCAACTTTAACTATACATAACCATGTTCTACTTTATTTATTTATTCTTTTAGTTTCCCAAATGATGTTCCTTACCTACCGAAAGTTTCATAAATGCTCTCAAAGACGACTTTATATTCAAGAAAATTCAAACTCGAAATTTGTATATTCAAAATTTTATATACATATATGGTTAATGAAGTTTTCTATTACAAAGATACTTTTTTAAGCAAAAATTAATAGGTTCAATATTGGAACCAC